ATATATATATATATATATATATATATATATATATATATAGTGTGTGTTTTCAGTGTTTTTCAGTCAGGGGATGAGTCAGACAGGAGGGTGAAAGGAGCTGGGAGGCCCACAGGAGAAGCTGCTGTCAAAACTGTGATTTCCCTCCTGGCTCACTGTCCTCTCCTGGTCCAGCACATAATTAGTGGCGGTGTTCTTTGTGTGTGTGTGTGTGTGTGTGTGTGTGTGTGTGCGCGCAGTTGTAACACAACATAAAAGATGTGTACAGGCACATAGGGGGTTTGCAGTTGCGTCACAAAACTCCTGGCAGTTTGACGGCGTCGCCGATGTCCTTTGGAGAGCTGGCTGTGCAGCAGATTAATAAAACATATACGACAAAAGGAAATTAGGAATATACAAATTATATTAATTATAAAGGCATATACAAATGCCTTTATCAGGGTCAAAAACTTTTTGCAAAAGTAATTCTGTTTTTAGTAAGAGCCAGATGGCGTCATTCACACACCGCACATCCCAGAGCTATCAAAAACACTCCAGTCTCTCCTGACTTGTGTTTTATTTTTAGACCAAAACAATTTCACTGAGTGGCAGCTCAGCACACATTTTCTTCGTCCAGTTCTCAGACACATAGGGCTCCACAGGGTTTGGAAAAAGCTGCGCTGTGGCTCCGCTGTGTTCTGGATTACAGATGCAACTGTCATTTTTGGGTGGTGGGCGTATTTTGAAGTGGCCTCGTGTTGTTTGCCCTGTTATTAAAAAAATAATAATAAAGCGAAACGACACGCTGAACAATAAATTGCAGCCATCTGGAAAAAAAATCCAGGATGAACGTTAGATTTGTGTGGACTTTTCCTTTTAAGGGACTTTGCTTTTTCTGCCCACTTGCCCACTCGGCCTCCGGCTGTGCAGTTAAAGTCAGCGGCCATCCGGAATGGTGCAATGCTCCACTGAGGGTGCTATACCACGTTGGTATGCATCTCCATTTCCCCTGCTCTCTACCACCTAGCAGCTATATTTAGCGGTGTTGAGGCCGACTGGTAATTCTAGACACTCATTTCGCCTCGTCTTTCCTACCAACAGATGTCCCTCTTCTGGTTCCACTCTGAAAGAACGTTCCAAGGACAAACCCAGAGACTAATTATACCTGTGGAGTGTATTTCTAAAGTTCTGTAACTCATAGGAGCTATAGGAGGGACCACTTTAAGATCATCGTGGCAATACGGCTACTAACCTTCCTGACACAAGCTGCACATTCCAATACTCGTACCACCATACTATGTAGTGTGCCAGGAAAAGATTTAATATGCCACATGCAATGTGCCAAAAATGCCAGGATGTCCTGCTGCATCCGGTCGCATTTTGCCGTATACAAGCCTGCGTGCTTTTCTGCTGACGCACAATACTCTGCGTAGCGGATATGTGAGCAAGAGGGTCAAAGTTCAAGGTGCAATATGATGAAAGAGGATGTATACTACAAAGTAGACTACTAAAAGTAAAAAAAAAAAGTATTCAATCTGGATTGTTGTGATGGCATTCGAGAGTTGGGTCACGGTTTTCCTCGTGTTGCTCTGCAGGATCTACGAGGGGCTAACAAACTGCACATACCAGGTGGCCTTGAGGGTGGACTGCTTCTGGCCGAATCAGATAGTCGACCGCTTCTTCATGCAGATTCACCGGATCTACTTCCACGACTGCGCCCTGACCGGCCGGCTCCTCCACGACCCGCCGACCAGCATCCTCGCCCCCTTCATCGGCGTGCCGGTGCTGGTCACCCTGCTCATGACTGCCCTCGTGGTGTGGAGGAGTAAACGCACGGAGGGGGTTTTATAGGGACTCGGCCCCTGAAGGCTTGTGAATACATGTGGACTCCTGAGGGGCAATGATGGAGCATGTGGTAAAAGATGTCTTTACTCATGTTAGTATGAATATCTAATGAAAAACAGCAGACTTTAACACCATATTATGTTATAAATGCTGTTTGGTTAGATATAGAGAGTGTTCGAGTTTGGGAAAAGTAATAAAGGTGTTTGGGATTCAGGGGAATTGGAGGCCACGCATGTTAATTACCATCTGTTGTCTTGGCCCTAAACAATCTGTGAGCATGTTAATAACTGAAGAGAGGATGACACTCAGGGAGACACCAACGACTTGAATGATTGTTATACATTTGATTAGAGAAGAAAGGAACAGAAAATGGAGGAAATTTGACTAAAGCAGAAAAAGGACAAGGAGGTTTTGCACAAAGACATCAAACATGATGACTTATTCATATTCAACGCATCTACAGTGCAAGCATTCGCTGTCTCCTTTTGATGCAAGTGGATTTCTCTCACCCCGGTGATGAAATAGGGAGTTCCTTTAAGAAAAGTGTAATTTTAGGGCCGTAAAACCTGTCCATCACGTCTGTAACAGGGCTCCATCTAGTGTTCACTCTGGAAGGCTCTGACTGTTAAGATCCGTAGGCCTGGAGTTCATTTAAATGTATGTTGATAACATAGTTGTGTCGAAATATCTTTATATAAAAATAAACTAAACATGACTCCCGACAAGAAGAAACAGGTCAACTGCAGCACACTGTGTGTAGTAATTAAATACTATGCCGTGATAATTAAATACAATGTCATACTTTCTTATCCATGTAAAAGTTATGGCTCAGCACTTCCCGCTCATATATTCTGCTTGCTGGGCTCTTCTGTCCTGTCGGTGGGGAATTAATGGTGGCTGTACTATCAACGCAGTTAAAGCCTTCAACAGTTAAGCTTAGTCGAGCAATGTTTGGCTTCTCTGATTAATGCTCAAGACTGTGACAGGATTCAAAGAAGAATTAAAGCCGGTTCTGAGCGTGAACAATGAATTTAGGTGGAGATTAAGAGATCAAGCTTCAGTGGCAGGCAGGTAGAGGTGAAAGCTCAGAGCCAGAAGTTAAAGATGAGACTTATTGATGAGATGGAGGTTAGTATCTCACTTGTTCCTTGTGTCATTAGAAAGACATTCAGCCTCAGCTGGATCCTTTTGTAGCAGGTTCTGGTAGCTGGAAAAGGTCTCCACCATGTCGAAGTATCCGCTCAGTGGCAAGATCCTCTTTACCCTCAGACACTCATTCCTGGACACAACGGAGGGAAAGATTGGGGGAAACTAGGCTGAATAGTGGTTCAGAAACACTCTCCTCTCCCTTGACTATAAACTGAGATGCCCCCGAGCAAGACATTTGACCGCCAACTGCTCAAGTTTAAGCTGCTCTGTGCCAGTTAACTACCAGCTGTCAGAGTGTGTATATGAACCAAATGTAAAATAAGTAAACTGGAACACTCACCGCTCTTTGTCTCAGTATGAGCAGGAGTCAAACATGTCTGAGTAGATCTTCACAGAGCTCCTTCCTAGATCCAGGTCATACAACAACTGTGACGTCAACATAAAGAGTCACGTAAGGATATTTATAAATTATATTATCTAAAAAAGCACACAAAGTGCTACCACTATGAGTAGCCCTCGAAAAATGAAATGTTTCTTCCGAATACTGCCAAAAGAAATGCGGTGATTTTCCAAAATCTAGATTTTTGAACATGCACTTGGTTTCAAACAGCAGCAGATGGCAGTAAATGCACATATATGATGCTCTGTGCGGAGCAGGAGAGAGATGCCGAGTGTCTCAATGCTTGGATGTCACATGTTAGTTGTAATTCGTTAACCCTCAGTGCAATAAAATGTGATAAATGCTCTAATTGGGATAAATATGGAATGTATCCGTACAATCGTTTTAGTGGATAATGTCACCAATACGAGGGTGTCAAAAGCTTGGCAGGGCAAGGTAACAAAGTGTTTGAGATTCAAGGGAATTTGGAGGCCGTGCATGTTAATTAGCATCTGTTCTCATGGCCCTAAACAATCTGTGAGCACATAAATATAAGTAGAGAGGAGGACACTCAGGGAGACACCGACGGCTTGAATAGATCATTCGGAAGAGCGGTGAAGGAAGAGAGGAAAGGAGTGCAGTAAATGTACTTTTATTGTGTAACGGAGACAAATCACTTTGTACTGAAGGAGAACCAGCTGCATCTGTGCTCTATAAAACAGGACGAGGCAGTCAAACGTCAGTAGAGTCAACAAGCTCATCGGGAAGGCTGGCTCCGTCCTGATGGTGGAGATATGGTCTTTGGTGGTGGTGTCAGAGAGGAGGAGGAGGAGGAGGGAGCTGCGGAGCATCATGGGAAGTGACTCTCACCCTCTCCACGATGTGCTGGTCACACACACTCTCTTTTTCTCTCTGGATTACTCTCCCTCCGTAGACTACAACCACGACAACTCTCTGATTTATGGGACATTTTGTGCAATATCACGATCCTAATCATGAACATTCTGGATGAACCGTATACTTCAGATTTGTTACTGTATATACAGAGCTATGACACCATGTCATTCATATCTGGGATCATTGCTGAAACCTAAAGTTAGACACTTATCCATCATTGTGTGACAGGGCTCCATCTAGTGTTCACTCTGGAAGGTACTGTCTTTATATATGTCAATATTCATAAGCCTGGTGTTGATTGAACAGCAGGTTCACTATATTATCATATTTAAAAATTAAATATCTTCATATAAAAACGAACAAAGGACGAGCATCCGATTTTTATTTTTCGAGCAATTAACAGAATTGAGTCACTTTTGATGACACTTTGGGAAACCTACAGATGTGGTTTCCAACCCGGGGGTCTGGATCTGCGTGTACAGGATTCAGCCGGTCAGAGTGGTTTGCGGGCCAGCCAATAGAAATACTTCACAACCACCGTGACTTCTGTGTCAGGAGAGGACACCTTCATGGCAGACATCAACCTGTTGGAGGACAAGAAGGGACAGAGAGCTTTAATAGGATCATTTAAGTGAAACCTTAAATGACTCCCGACAAGAAGAAACAGGTCAAATCTGTCCAGAGACAGAGAGCAGCACACTGTGTGTAGTAATTAAATACTATGCCGTGATAATTAAATACAATGTCATACTTTCTTATCCATGTAAAAGTTATGGCTCAGCACTTCCCGTTCATATATTCTGCTTGCTGGGCTCTTCTGTCCTGTCGGTGGGGAATTAATGGTGGCTGTACTATCAACGCAGTTAAAGCCTTCAACAGTTAAGCTTAGTCGAGCAATGTTTGGCTTCTCTGATTAATGCTCAAGACTGTGACAGGATTCAAAGAAGAATTAAAGCCGGTTCTGAGCGTGAACAATGAATTTAGGTGGAGATTAAGAGATCAAGCTTCAGTGGCAGGCAGGTAGAGGTGAAAGCTCAGAGCCAGAAGTTAAAGATGAGACTTATTGATGAGATGGAGGTTAGTATCTCACTTGTTCCTTGTGTCATTAGAAAGACGTTCAGCCTCAGCTGGATCCTTTTGTAGCAATTTCTGGTAGTTGGAAAAGGTCTCCACCATGCCGATGTATCCTCTCAGTGGCAAGATCCTCTTTACCCTCAGACACTCATTCCTGGACACAACGGAGGGAAAGATTGGGGGAAACTAGGCTGAATAGTGGTTCAGAAACACTCTCCTCTCCCTTGACTATGAACTGAGATGCCCCCGATAAAGACATTTGACCGCCAACTGCTCAAGTTTAAGCTGCTCTGTGCCAGTTAACTACCAGACGCTACCGCCTGTATATGTCTGACTTATATGACCGTGTTCAGAGCATTTACGCTCCTTGTTTTGCAGGGACTACTTTAAGAACGAGATGCAAGATAAGTAAACTGGAACACTCACCACTCTTTGTCTGGGTACGAGCAGGAGTCAAACATGTCTGAGTAGATCTTCGCAGAGCTTTTTCCAATATAGGGATTTCGGTAGGGAAGCAGGGCAGCGTAAAACTGATAGAAGAAGAAAAATAATCATTACCAACTAACCTTGCATAGGCCAATGGAATTTCAAAAATAGTGGGCAGGGTTGTGCCCTGTCAGCAATGTTATTTTAAACCCAGAACATGCTGGAGAAATGATATATCTTGTCTGCCCTGGGAGTACCTCAGGGTCCGCCAGTGAGAATGCCCTGCTTAGCCTGCTGCCCCTGATACCCGACCCCACATGAGCGGGAGAGAATGGTTGGATTTTGACATGTTTACAGTCATCCATACTTTTGAAATTCTAAATAACACGTTCCAAGAATGAAGTTTTTGGATTTGCGATGAACCTCATTACAGATGTCGTTGAGTGTCCCGTTGGAGACGTCCCCATACTCCAGCTCCATCTCCATGGTGTAGCTCAGCAGAGCCAGGCAGCCTCCAGGCCTCAGCACCCGGTCAGATTCCAGGAGGAACTTCTCATGGTCGAACCAGTGAGCCGCCGTCATGGCCGTCACAAGGTCCACCTCACCACAAGCAAACGGTAGCTTCTCTGCCGGACACTCCCTGGGGCCCGAAGGAAAACACATTACAAAACTCGCAGCTTTTTGTACAGAAGATGTAGGAAATGTACATCACGATATATTGGTAACTTTACTCACATTCTTGATACAGTTGGAAGATACCCTGGAAGATATTTTGAACCACCATTGCAGATAGACAAACAAAAAACTCCCAACCTTCCCTCCAACTCACCTGTATGATACATTTGGAGGTTTTTTTTTATTGGTCAGAGCCATCTCCAGCTGAGCCGGGCTGACGTCCGTTCCAACAACCTTGGTGAAGTACGGAGCCAAAAGGATCGTCCCTTGGCCTGAACCGCAGCCCACATCCACAGCAAGATTGACCTGGTTCGGTGTCTAAAAGCAATGGAGTCAAACCTTTTATAAACTTTGTTTGCTTCTGAATCTATACATGGTTCTGCAGCTCTTCTATTACAATAACATTCATCTCAGGTATTTCAACATGCAAAATGGCCCTTTTTTCTGTGCATGAATGAACCATATTTAGAGGCATTAGATGGTGCATAAAACTTGGTCAAACACACTTCACCGTTTTCTCCATGTAGCTCATAATCCTGTTGATCAATTCATTAGGAGCCACTCTGTACTGCAGGTAAGCGGCTGCATGATCTCTACCCTCAAAGACGCGTACAGCCATGTCCCTGTGCAAGGTGCTCCTGTCTGACAAAGCGGCTGACTAATACTATGACTCTGCACTATGCGCTTGTCCTTCAACCCCCGAGTTACACATTAACTCCCGGAATTAAAAGTGTCCCGTCCTCGTGAGCTGCAGGCCCATAAAGCATAGTTCACACTGTATTGCTTGGAATTAATGGTAAAGGTAGGATTTAGGTGGATTCATTTGCAGCAACAGTATATAATATACATAACTATGATTTATTTTGTGTATAAATACCTGAAAACAAGAACCATTAGCTGAGAATGAGCTGTTTGCAATCTGCAACCTGCAACTGCTCCTTTAAGTGTAGTAATTTATTTTAATGCTAAGTACCCCTCCGCAATGTTCCCTTAAAAAGTGTTTCTATGGCCATACTTGTTGAGTCATTGAAACGTGTCACATGAATATATATATATATATATATATATATATATATATATATATATATGTGTGTATATATCACCAAAAGAAATCCTGCGATCCAGATTCCTGCACATGCACTTGGTTTCAAGCAGCAGCAGATGGCAGTAAAGGCACACGCATGATGCTCTGTGCTGAGAAGGAACACGTGGGAATGCTTGGGAGTCACATGTTAGCTGTAATTCCTCATCATCCTGACCATCGCCCTTATTTAATCTGCAATATCATTGTTTCTTTGGCATACCGATGAATCAGACATGTCCTAAAATGATCATGTTAGTATCTAGAGAAAAGAAACATGTGGCTAAAAATCTCACCAACTATACTCTATCTACAAAAGCCAATACTTATAATTGTGAAACTTGTCTTTTTCTGTAAGCACTCTGACCTCACACTTTTGTTATAAGTATATTTAGATGGTATCACCCAAACAGGCCTGAATCTGCTCCGGGCGGCTGGTCTTGTTCTTGTATTTTCTTCCCAATCAACAACATTGATCCTTCCCGTTCACCTGATCAATATCCATTGTCAGATATGATTTGCAATAGGGCTTGTGTTAACAAAGGTGGGTGGGGGTGCAGGGTGCCCAGGAGCCCCACCCCTTAACCCCAGCATGTTGCGCCATGCGCGGGCCTTACCTCGCGTCCTCCAATCAATCAGCTTTGATCAAACCTGTCAACGGCGTTCGGTTCACACGCCGCCGACCTCTGCTGCAGTGTGTGCAGCTGAGAGCGTGATAAACACATTGTCATCCACGCAGATGATGTGACTACCCAGACGTAGCCGCTTTATCGCCCAGTCTTTACCACCAAGTCTTATTACAGTGTCCTCACACGTTTCCACAGACGCCATTAAAAACACAAAGTCAATGGACTCAGACAAGCGGCCTCGTGTATTGCTTAAATATCTGCAGGTATTCCCGACACGGTAAAAAGAGCTATGGGAGTACTTCCATTGACTGTGACGACCAGTGTCGCTAAAGCCGCGTGGGGAATTCTCCTGAAAGGCAATCACACAGGTAATCCATGCTAGGAGAGGAGAAATATGAGAAATATTGCATTTTAAACCTGGTTGGGTGCATGTGAAATTCTTGATTTGGGGTTTTCCAAACTGGTTGAAGAAGATTTTGTGTGAAAGCGAGTCTGGAATTGTGGAAAAGGAGATAAAACACGTCAGACCGGGGCTATTTCGTGCACCGGCTGTATACAGTTTAAGATGAATTTCAGCCTAAAGTAGGCACACGCTAGTAAATACTTGTGCATCATTTTCTTCGCTCCTCTGTCAGTGTGAGTGCAGACACATGCAGGGAAGGGGGATGGATAGATGGGTATTGAGGAAAAATCCCACTTCCCTGCGGAAATGTCAGCAGGTAAAAGCAGATTGCAGCTGTTGGATGAAATCCGTGATTTTAGAAAATAGTCCTGTTGCCACATTGAGAGCCATGCAATTTCTTTTTTTTTTTGGGGGGGGGGGGGGGGGGGGGGGGATTCATTCATCATGGCTTCCCCTGAGTCCTTAAACACACCTTTATTTTTAACAAAGTAGCACGAAAACCTTTAAATGAAAAAAAAACAACAACCGTGCACTCAAACTTATTGAGTGCACGGCTTTTTCTTTCCGTTATTAAATCAACTCGGCAACCTTTGAGGAGAAAGGGAAAGGGAGAGGCAAATCCTCCCTGTCTTTTTATCGTGCCACTGGTGCATTGTGCCAAACAGCGTTTGCAATCTCTGGTAGGATATGAAGATCTTAAATCTTTACCCATTAAAACTTCACTTGAGACACTCTGTGTTCTCCACAGCCAGTTGTAAAGTACAAATATGGAGGAGATCTTAGTGACTCCGCTGCGTTTTTATAGCCGAGATGCTCGTTCGGAGATACACTCGGAGGGCTAATCCCACTCTCCGAGGAGAGAGGTAGGTATTGGCTTTGATGATAGAAATGGATTAAACAGATTACATTAAAGGCCAGTCTAATTGAACCGATCTATCCTGATTCTGCCGCTGTAAGATAAATGATGAGAGGGCCAGATAGTATATATAGGTCGAGTGTTTGGCTCGGGGTTTCGTTTGTAGACATTTACAGGCTCGCGTTATAGACAAAGGTCCATATCAAAGAATGAGTGAACTGAACAAACAATGAGATTCTGCGGTGAATGTCTGGACTATCCCACATCCTGAATAACGTTTAACTATGTCTGTATCTCATCCTGAAAGCTGTAAAAGCGACAAAACAAGTGAAATCTTCCCCCAGCACATTCCGATTCATCTTTCTTTCTCAATACGAACGCTTCGGGTCTTTCTTTTTGGGTAATTACCTCTGTGTGTGTGTGTGTGTGTGTGTGTGTGTGTGTACCTGTCCTCCCAGGCAGGGTCGTTATTGACGGTGTCCATAGTTGAAGTGAGCGTGATGGGGGTGACCTTTCCTTCCAACCTTGTTATCAACGGGAACTCGTTAAGCCGGACTGTTTAATTAGCAGCGGAATGACAATCAGGGAGGAGCCGGAGACCTCTGTGCTCATAGACACGGATCAATGGTCTTCAGGGAGCCTTTGCACTCAGCAACAAGGCTCCTTTGCACATGTGTGCGTGCAGTGTGCTCATGCATACATACACATGCAATTATACACAATTTACTTCTTCAAAGTTGGTCTCAACATTTTGGATTTGGTGTCCACATGCTTTGGGCCCTTTAGTGTCGATTTTATTCCAGGTTTTACAAACAACATGGAAACCCTGATATCCCACTTTTAAAACTGATAAAACAGTCCAACCCTGGTTGACATGCACACATGCTTCAGCACACGAGCATATGCACCCGCTCTCGGAAGTGTGTGTGTGTGTGTGTGTGTGTGTGTGTGTGTGTGCAAAGCGGGAGCCAACAGCCGCTGCAGCTGGTGAGATCCAAGTGAAAGTGAGAAGCATAAAAAAAAAAAAAGAGCTGAACGCTCGGGTCTGTTGATCTATTTTTACCGCAGAGCAGGGGGCAGAGGGGGAGAGAAGGAGAGAGAGAGAGAGAGATTCCTGCATCTGCATAATGCATGGCCCTGTAGAGCAGCAGTGGCTTTTACACTGCTGCTCTCTCACTGGGCTTTCAGGTGTCTGTGCTGTCTGTCAAGCAAGCAGCATATAGGCGAGCCAGGTGCTCTCACACGGCGCTCCGGTTGATCTTTCTCATAGCACAAGACCACCAGCCTATCCGGCTGCTCGCTCTCTCCCCGAGCACAAGATCTCACCTGTAGTCAAATCCATCTCTGAAGCGTAGGAGCACTCAGGAGCTGGTGGGGGGGGGGGAGTACAGATACATCGCCCCAGTTGGAGTGGGAAACCGCTTTTTGTTCTTCAGGATCTGTGGCAACAACGAGTGGCAACTCATGAATTGAGTTCACTACAGTTTGGATCCAAATTTAGCTCAGAGGATGTTTCTTTAAGGAGATAAACACAAAGCAGCATCCACAGTGTGCTGTTCTATTCTTCTCTTGTGAAATAACATTTTAAAAGTCACTTTATCTGCTCATTGTGTCTATTGTCGAGTCCCAAATGTACTGTTTGAGTGCAATTTTCTGTTCTATTTCATTTTTTTCTTTTCTTTTCCTGCTGTTGAATTTGGAAAATAACTTTTAATGGAACACTCTCACACCACTAAATGATTGGATTTGGTTTTGGGAACAGGCGATCTGAGCATTCCCTGAGGGGGTCGGGTTGCTGCTGGGCATCACAAGGAGGGAGACTAATGAAAGCTTGATGAGGATGCTTCTCTGAATCCACCAGCATGATTAGGCTTTAATTACCGAGGGCCACCTCGACATATTCCCTATAATTGGAAATACCTAAGCACTCGGCCGCTCATGGCATCAAACCAAAGAAATCCGTGGTTCGCAACCCTTCGTCGGACAATCCTCACTCTCACTCTCAACAGCGGGCGTCTCAGATTGAAGCTCGTCTCCATTCGCTGACAGTCTAGGCATGGAATAAGATATTGCGATGGAGGATTTCAACTTGTAGCTTTGCTTCCCAGAATGCTGGCATCGCCACGTTGCCAGATGTGACACTAACATCCATATATGGCTGCCAAACGCCTACAAGACACCCACCGGCTTTGGCAGCTCCCCTGGTGAAATCTTCTGTTGCACAACCACATGAAAAAAAAAAAAAAAAGGAGGCCTTATGTTCTGCCGGTTAAGTGAATCGCTGCCTCGCCTGAAGAATCGTCCTTTCTTTCATTTACAGTCGCTTCGATTCAGCGCGCCGTCACACCATTTGTACCCTCCTTCAATGGCGTTAGCTACGGCTGAATCATTGTGCGAAAAACAAAGACAACATTTCTGAAATGTGCTCAGGTGTTGCGGCGGTGAATAGCTGAGCGGAGACAGTAGACGATTCAAGGGCAAGCTGATAAGCCTGCAGGATACCGAACAATGAGACATTATCTTTGAAAAGTCGATGTGGGGGTGGGGGGGGGGGGGGGGGGGGGGGGGGGGGGTGGGACTGTCCTGTGGTCTTAATTGTTCTGACCATTAAATATTCAATTATTCGCTTTCCTGATTCCTACAGATACATCCCAGTGCTTGAATAGTGTTGTCACACGTGCAAGGTGTTAATATCATGTACACACAATGAGGTCAAGTCCTTCTGAATGCTATAAATGCATGTATAGAATGCCATAACAAGATAATATCACAGGATGTTTTAATCCTATTGTCCTAGCAGATTTACATAGACGCTATCATTTGACGCAGATTAATGGAGGACAGGGTGACTGAGCACATGTAACCAAGCATTCAACAGCCGTGTTTATCAACTCAGCTTTTCTATTATTCAGATTATTCTGCTTGGGATCCCCGGTGTAATTAGCCGGATAACAAATCCACCGCTTTCCACAGCGTGTCTGTGCTTTGATTCTATCACATTCACCAGCTGCCAAGTGCTGTTTGAAAAGAAGAACGTGTGTGTTTTCATTTTGTGTTTCAATCCTAACTGTGTGGTCAGACTTGGTTCAGGGACATATTACGTTCTACGATGTAAGAAGTGAACGTAGTCACTGTCATGTCAACCATTGGGTTGATGTCTGCGGTTCTGAAGCGCTAAATTCGGCATTTTGGCCGTCGCCATCTTGTTTTTTTGCAACCCAGAGGTGACAGAAGTGGGTGGAGCTAAGTAAAAACAAACTTTTAAGAACTGAAAACACCATATGAAAGGGTTAAAGTTATTGGACGAAAACACGGACAACTCCCAGACCGGAAAACGCCTAAATTGCCTGCAGACGTACATGCACGACACTGCATTTGTGAATGTGTGTTAACCTTTGTGTGTTGATGTGGATGTGCTCCCCTTCTCTGCTGAAACACATTAACGGCGACTCGTTCCGCTGTGAACTCACATACAAACTCATCTCCATCACATGGAATGGAAACCACGATCGGAAAGCGCTCATGGGACACGCGACCTTTACTGAAAAATGTCTCCGTCGTTTCTAATTTCATAATGTGTCTCTGTGACTGACGTAGTAGGTGTAGTTAGGTAGATAATGTGGGGCTGTCTGTAATTACAGATAAAAGAACATTAAGTTCGACAGATACATGTAAGCTTCTTGATGAGGGTGCCCATTTCAATTAGGGAGCATTAAATGAAAAAAAAAACCTTATGGGAGTTTCTCACTGCCAGACCCAAGGAGAATTAATACACTGCATAGGGCCATTTACCAGGGAGTAATTACCCCCTAATTAGCCATTAGTTATTCGATTACCCTTTTATCAGCTAGTCATGGTCAAAAGGCAGGAATAGCGGATAAGTCATCACCTTGGTTGGTAACAGATGTAATTAACATGCCGTAGCTCCCTGAGAGGGAGACAACGAGGGAGTGCATTCAAGCAAAGTGAAGGCATTCTGGCCCATTTCCTCCGTTTGATCAGAAGGAGCGATAAATCAGAGGCTTTTTTTCATCCAATTCATCCAAGGGTGGGTTGCTGCAAATAGCAGAAACAGGAGGATGTTAATTAATTATCCTGCCCACTTTAACCCAAGAAGGTTTGCACATTTAACTCTAACAAATGCAGTAGAGCTAAACCAGCCCGTCCTTTAAGGTTGTCTGGTCAGTGGGAATAAAAGCAAAAGGGTATGTGGACGTACTCTGGGCCGCTCATTGTTTGCAAACTGAATGGCTCTGTGATTGAGAGCGGATAAGAAATATTCCCTGAGAGGACTGACGATTAGGTGCATATTGTTGCCGGATGAAACCGCCGTTAACAGACGAGAACAAGAACCGTGAATACTCCATGCCAAACTGCTTCTACCATTTATTACACATAATTACATTCTTAAATAAAAACGATTCACCGAACAGTTCCTTGCATAGAGATATTACAATACCAATTTAAAAAAAGGAATTATGAAACAAACCGGTAACAAAAATAAATCTTTCTCATTTTTCCATAATAAAGAACATTATCGTACCCATACATCATAATATACAAATGATAAATTTGAAACACTTTGTACAGCGAAATAAAAAGGAGAAAGACAACGGAGGAAAAAGGTGGAGGGCGGGGAGGAGGGGAGGTGGAAGGGAAGGGGGAGTCGGACAAGGGGGGGGAGGGGGCGATGAGGGAATGCTGGTAGAAAAAGGGGGTTCGTTTGATTTGAAATTCAGACCTGGTGGAAACAGAGGTGGTGTCACACATAGTAATGAGTGTTCCCCCCCTCAGCTGCAGTCTGGATCTCTGACTCCCACAAGGTGGCATGAAAAACGGTGAAATACACATAAGAAGGACGGACAGAGTGTGTGTGTGAGTACGTTCAGAATGTGCTTGTGCGTGTAGGTGTGTGTGTGTGCGCGTGTTTGTATGAATCTGTGTGTTCAGGGAGTGTCTGCATGCATGTAGTTTGGTGTGTGAATCCGTGTAGCATGAATGTGTACATTTGTGCTAAAAAAACAGCTACTATACAGACTTCGTGATCAGTGTTTCATCACCCGGGGTCGTTGGCGTGAAGTGTTGCGCACAAGCGGACAGAAAACATCAGATATGCAAGTGATCTTTCCAAAAAATTGCAGAGTGCAAATACAAACAGACGAAGAACACACAGGCACAGCAGAATTGACAATCATTCATTAAGATGACACCGAACTGAACCGCATCCTCTGGGACGACATGAAACAACCTTTTTTTTCCAGAAAAAACACGTTCACATTAGAAATCCCAGTCTTTGAGCTTGAGAAAGTCCAAATTTTGAAATTGTCCCGTCACTTGAATATTTCCCATGAACTTGGCTCCTTAAAAGTCTCAACGAACATGAAGAACACATTCAGTGTTTCCAGTCCAAAAATCCTTTTTCATACAGAACATGAACAAAAGCGAAACAGTTCTGCACATTCCCACACATTCGCAAACATTCAGTCCAACAGGAGAGCACCCCGTTCAAATACTGACACACAAGTAGAGCTGCCATTGATGATGCAAATTTTACCCCCTGGGTTAATTAAACTGCTTATTCCTCATTTTCTCCTCCACGTGGAGAGTCGGGGCTGAGCAAGAGAACCACAAACCTGCACAGACATCCCCACCTGAACCCTTCTGCAAACCAAATGTTTGTCACTTTCTACGATTTTTATGAAACGCAAAGAATGGTAGCACTGATGTGTGTTGTAGCTGCAACCCGGATGGCCAGTGAGAATTTTTGGTCTCCTTGAAAATAAACCAGCAGTTCAAACTTGTACCCGTGGCTTTCTATTGTGGCCCCTCCCTCCCCGTCTTTGCAAGTGGAGGCCTGTCACCTCGGAGTTCAATATAAAAGCCAGCCTGGCATATTTGCACGTTTGGACAGAGAGAGTTCAATATTTATGCGAAGCGGGAGCTTCTACTTCCAGAGCCACAGACAGATCATGTCTAGATATGATTGAGCTGGAATGCATTCATACCCTAAATTGAAATGCGCCTCTGGTATACAGAGTGAAATCAATTTACTGCCTCCCTTGCCAAAAGGCAGACTGCTGTGTGCCTCACTGCAAGTATTACAAGTCTTGTAAAATAAAGAATAAACACCTTGACATAGTTTTTCCCAATCGCGTTCGTAAGAATCCAAGCTGCCTGTTTGTTTCATGTGCGCTTGAATTGAGTCGAGGATCATCCAAAATCCATTTGTGGATTAAAGACGAGACACAGGGCTAAAGCTAGATGTGATGCGTCTCTGTTCTGTCGGGCAAGAGTCAGACCGCCAAGGACAAATGTTGATTCCCAGTTTTCTGGGAGTGTATGTATGTGTCTCGTGTGTGGGTTTCACTCCGCTGCAGTTTCATGAGCTGATGGGGCAGTTATCGTTTGCTGACGGAGCAGACTGTTCCTCCGCTTACCCATTACAGCTGCCCACTGGAAACCTGCACTCAATGACCTCCCCACTGGTCCAGTGCGACCAGTAAAATGCCAGAAGCTCCCAGCCGTGACTAGCTAGTTATTCCAAATCAAGCCATTCATATCCTAATGTGAAAAAGAGAATCTACCCTATCAACACAAATGGTCTTTTCATGGGCCTAGCAACATGTACAGACTTACAACAGATACATTCACATCGATTTGCTCGGAGAAGAGACACCAAATTGATTGAAGTTGTGTCTTCATACAAGTCCTTCCGCGCCCATCCATCTGCATTCAGACATACATGTGTGGTCAGGAAGTCAGCAGGATGCTCTTGGATATGCATAGGGTCCGATTAGGAGAGCTGAATGCTGCTTTTTTTTCTGTTTTTGTTCTGCATGGGTGCTGCGGACAGGACAAAAAAACCTCCTCAGCCCGGTGGCTAGTTGGGTGCCAATCACTCTCAAAGGCCAAAGAGATCATTTCAGGCATCAACAGTAGACACTTCTTTTTTTTGGCTGCATCCGTTTCCAATGTGTTCTTCAAAATGGTCTTTTAAATTGTCAGCTTTGAACAAAAAGGAGAATCTTTTCATAGAAACAATATAGCCTTTATCATACATAGTGATCTTGTTTACGTTCGGTGTGCTATCGCAGTCAGCTAGCTGCTTTTTCGACTTGTGCATGTGGCTGTCCGCACTTCCGACGGCATGTGGAAGCCAGCGTTTGGTGAGTACCGAATTGTCACCCAGTCCAAGACCGTCGGGGCATTTTTACAAAACGTTTGCAAAGAGTCAATTGTGCAACAGTTCCTGACAATAATTCGTATGGAGCCGAGATGTTGGAGAAGAAAAACGCTCGTAGGAGCCAATCAGCACCTCTCGAGACGCTCGGTGTCAGATGACATTCTCGGAGATGAACAGCCTTATCCAGAGTAGATTAGTTAGCCTCATCCTGTGGAAACGCTCAATGGATGATGTTCATAAAGCAAGCCGGTCCTCTGGATGACCTCAATCTGTCTTCACAGCACATCAGTGCAACACAGTCCTGTCTCGAGTCTTTGAGAAATCCAATCTAACGCTGCGTTCAAACAAGTGCTCCGATGCTATTGGACCAGAAGGATTTATAAATGGATCCAGTTGGCAGATGTGACAAAGGTCGGATGAAAAATTGACAAATTATTATCTGTCCTATAGATAAAATGATAAACCCTTTGGCGATTTGTAAAGGCTGTGGCAGGTTTTGAGGGAGAGAAAGTCTGCTTTCTTGCTCGCTTACCCTGTGAGATAATGCCGTTTAGCTGCTGTTAGGAAAGTAACTGCTCTCCTCAGCACAAGGTTCATTCTAAGAAGAGGAAATATACAAAACAGCAGTTCTGCTGTCAGCGCACGGGGAAATGACTGTACAACTGGTCCAGTGGTAAGCTCGCTGGTGCGTGGTGCGCTGCCGCATGAACAGGGCCGACATTTTGGAAGTGCTTTCGACCAAGGGACGACCACAAAGGCCGTGAGGACGACTGCGACAAAGAGCTGCCAACTACAGGCACGTGGTCCACCATTCGTCGCGTGACATCCCCTCTGAGACACACACGATGGGGTGGGATGGAGCATCTGTATCGCCCATGCGAGACATTTACGAGGTGACTGTGGAATCATGGACCAACTGGCTGAGCACAGATTGACAGGGCCGCTTGGCGTGCGTCCGTCTGCCCGTCTGTGTTTCTGTCTGTAGTCAGCGTCCCTGTGTGCTGCCTCTCCCTCAAGTCCAGAATGACCAAATCTGGTGTTCTTTTGAGTCCATCCCGTCGTCTCTCTCTCTTACATCCATGGTGTTATTTTTCTGCAGATGATGCTCCCTCTCATTCCTCCACTCCGCCTCCATCCCCCTTCTCCCGCTGACCTCTCTCAGATGTGCCTCTTCATGTGTAGCGCCAAGTGATCCGACCGCGAGAAACACCTGCAACCAAAGAAAGGGAAACAGAGAACAGCCGGTTAGGTTGTTACCAATGCAAGGGGGGGGGAGCAGTTTGTTCTGTCGATTGAGCTAAATGTTGCTGTTAGCTAGTGAGCGCTGAGCCACCAATGCACACGCAATTAGTATATGTGTAACTAATTCATAATCAGCATTTTTCAGCAGCACTCCTAATGACTTCAGCTGCGCCATGAATAACTAGAGAGCCCGCAGATGGATATGGTAAAACGGTGAGGGGGGGGGGAAGCAGCATGCAAAACATGTTCTGCAAAACGTTAGCTGTATTAGATGAATCGAAGCCTCTCTTCTGAAATCAGGCAGCATTGCCAGCGCAGAGCTGCACAGTGAGACGTTGAATTGCTCTGGAAGTGCACTGGCCTATTTCTCTTCCATGAAGGGCTTTCAAAAAACGTTTGATTATTTCAACCTGATTGCCACAAATTGGCATAATGTATGCCTTCAGCTGGTGTTCTGTTTATTCGACGTGTGCGTACATAAAGATGCAGCCTTCATAGGAGACCTAGCTCAACAGTGTTTCTGTTGCACGCTTGCTGAACAAATACTACAGCTCCATTCCCCAGACGAGTGCTTTCTCAAAAAGGCAAGTGTTGCTTTCTTTTAGGTAATTGGGAGCCGCAAGTTCTGGTGATTAGTGCGTTAAGAAGTATTTGAGATGGAGACTTGTTTTTGAGAGTTTACTAAAGTGGTTCAGTTTAATAATGTTTGGGAGGGGAAAAAAAGAAACAAGACTCAACAAAATTGCCCCCAAATTGCTGCAGGAAATGTGTTTGAAATTAAGGTAAGTGCAGAATATATTGTGTCCATAAAGACACAATATATTCTGCTGTCTGTTTATGCCAAAATGAAAAACCACTACAAATTGCAGAATTAGTGTTAGATTGCCATTTATTTAAATGGCCCTTTGTGAATACTCCTAACACAACATTTGGTAACCATTCCTCAGATAAAATAACATTTAAAACGAGTAAAAACGTGCAATAAATCCAAAGCATTTACTTATGAAACCCGTTTGGGAGTCAGACTCCCTTTCTGCAACTGTTGATTTTCATGTTCTTTTTGACACCAGTTTCAGATTGGCTCTTTCCACTGAGACAGAGGCAACTGTCTGAGATGTCGAGATGAATCAGTGTTTGGCCAAGAGGGGGGGTTACACTGTGATGAGCCACCAGTCATCTGTCTTACTGTCACACCTGCATATGTGTCCCTGTTTTCTGCATCCACGAATTGCGTGCACGCTAACAAACACATGTGAGATCAATGGATGGCTCAGGAGACGAGCAGGGCTGTTTGTGTGTGTGTGTGTGTGTGTGTGTGTGTGTGTGTGCGCTCGGAGAGACAGATGGTAAAGTATGAGTCACGACTCGGGGGCACGACACCAGCTGGCACACCGTGGGTCTGTCCCCTCCTCCCCTCCCCTCCTCCCACCTCATCCTCAATCTTCCACCCTGTCTTCTCCGTCTCCCCTGTTTCCCCTCTTTCTTCATCTCAGCAGGGTGTGTGTGTGTGTGTGTGTGTGTGTGTGTGTGTGTGTTTTGGGCTGGAGGCGTTGGGCGCCTTGTGACACATGACAGAGGTGGGCCCGAATTAAGGATGTGCCTGCAGGGGGGTGGTGGTGGTGGTGGTGGGAGGGGAGGTGGGAAATCAGGGGTGAGAGGTACTGTATTTACAGTCTGTCCAGCTGAGACCCGATTAAGTTGACACTGCCTGACTCTCTGCTACCACACACACACACACACACACACATGCACGGATGACTCACACTCTCACATACACATTAGGGCAAAGTACCCCAGGTGACAACTCCTTTCTTTTTGTCCTCTCATAATGAAGCTATACATGATTCAAGAGGTCACATATTCAATAACGTGCTGCCAAAGAGGCTGCACACGCATATAGCACATTGCTGAAACCTTTTTTTCACAATGCATGTCATCTTTGTTCATTTTAAGCTTCATTAATACCTAAATACTGTTGAATGTAATGCACTGTTTGACTTATATTGACAAAACTGCATGCAATGTGGCATAATACAAATATTAAATGAAATAAACGAAAATGCAATCATTATCTTTCATGGACATGAAATGGCAAAATCTACCATAAAAGCCTCTGTAAATGATGAGGTGTTCGGGTTAGGGCTTTATTTAGTAAAAGCACTTAGTGCAACATGAACACCGATGTAGCATATACTAATAGTTTATAAAACTAAAGATGTGTATTAACTTGAAATGACTCATTTGCCCACGTCTTCACCCGGGCTTCCTTGCCTCAAACACTGAGGTGTCCCAGAGGTGTCAGCGAGGGCCGGATCACAGACAGAAGGGGCGTAATTAAAATCGGAGTAAAGATTTTTGTGTCTGAGTCAAGCTGATCTTTTCATAATGGCCGTTGAATGTTTGATGATTTTTGCCACCGGAGCCCTGCAAATTAACATTTTGCTGTGGTTCATAATTAAACATGGAGCCAGGGTGACTAATTAGGACGCAGAGTCGCGGGCACATTGCGTCGGATCAGCTCTTCAAAGTGACAAACTTTTACACCTCCGTTAAAGATTACGGGGGGGGGGGGTGTTTTCTCCTGTGTAAGGCTATAAACAGGAAGTGGAATAGTTAACGAGTTAGAGATGCTCGGTGCTTAGGGTCACAGGGATCAGACCAGGAATCATCCGGTTTACAGGATAGTCCCTCCAATCACCGGGCCAGCTGAGGCTTTATTTACAGTAACACACACACACACACACACACACACCTGTATTCTGGCTCATGGTGGCTTCGGAAAATCCCCAAAAAATACATTTCTCCTCTAAAATGTCCAACACAGCAAAACTGGTGCCTTTTTTTGAATAAGGAATACTTAATATTTATAAATATTAACTCTATTAGTGGTTTATGAATCATTGATCAACAATGTTCAACAAATCACAATGTCTGTTTGAGTTTACCTTCACTCACCTTCTGTCTGAAACGCTCCGTTTTAGCGCCCGTCTCTTAAAGCCACCCTCCAAATCTGAGCCAATCTCAATCTAGCCCTCAGAAAACTGACTAGGTCGTCTTATTTCACAGTTTGTGGGTTAGTAGACACTCCGGATACCCAAATGTATGTGCACAAGCACTGAAAAGGTGAGTTTTTAAATGATAAGTCCCCTTCAAATTAATATTCTATACCAGTGATGTGTGATAATGGGTTCTACAGCCTCCAAATCAAGGCCATGTAGCATGATGTGTGGAGGAGCACTATTAATATGCTGCACAGGGCCTAATGTGGGTATAGAGCAGAATAAGCAACCTTCGGATTCCCATTGAACGACTGAGCAGGTTGAGTCTGGCGCGTGTTGCAGAGGAGCACACATTAGTAATCCTGCCAGCACACTTTGAAACTGGGTCAGTACCAAACACATTTGGGTGTGTTACCAGCGTCTTGTAGCGCTGCTTTACTAAACCAAACTGTGTACAAATCACAACGGGAAAACAACCCGCTGTGCAGGTGGAAGTACTTCAAATGACACTTGGAAAAAAACATACAAGGGAAAAGGAAAGAAGGAAGAGTTGTGTTTTGACAGACCTGTCACAGTGGTTGCACTTAAAAGGCTTAGCGCCGGTGTGTTTGCGGTAGTGCCTCGTCAGCTCGTCGCTCCGGGCGAATCGCCACTCGCAGCCCTCCCACGAGCACTTGTACGGCTTCTCACCTGGGGGAGTGAAAAAAAAAAACCATGCATAAACACCTGTTTCATTGCTCATCCACCAATCACACGCATATTTGTCATGCAAAAACCCCTCTGTGGTTCTGTTGTGGACTCATGAATCCAAATATAAGTTGTCTTCAAAGTGATGTTTGATACATTATGCTAAATATACGTGCAGAGATTCTTATTTAAAAGATTATTTCCTGTATATTTTTGAGTTTGCGTTCTATTTAACTGATAAAGATCCCATATCTCCTTTTTTTGGGGTCTGAAAAATGATCAAGGCGATGTTTAACAGTGAGCTGGAGAAGCTCCCACTGGTCTCCAGTCTTGCTGAACACGCAGAAGAAGAGTAGAGGGTAGAGAGAAGTGGAGCGGGATGAAGAAGTGGAAAGGGAGAGGATGAGGGATTAGAGGCAAGGTGGATGAGAGAGAGTGAGAAGAGGAGGTGAGATGAGACCAGGAGGGAAAAGAGGAGTAGGAGAGGAAGTGCTGCAGAAGTGGATTAAGGCAGAAGAGGCTGCAGATATGCCGGCAGGGGAGCGGGGTGGTGATAATTAGACCGGTCATACGGCATAATGGCAAAGGAACCCGCAATCTGCCAGCTGCGTCCAGCTCCGAAGATGTCACCTGCATCAGTCACATCCCATCTGGACCGGTGGCTCGTCGTGGCTGAACGCAGACACGCTGGCACACTGACCGGCTCTGCTTGACTGGCTTCGGCACAAAAACAGGCTTAATTTGTTGAATGTGATTAGCGAAAAGGGACACAATCAACGGAGCAACTGCTTTGTGGAGACAGTCAAGATTGAGAGGAGCGAGACTGAAATTCACCCGTCGTGCACAGATTCGTTCGTGAGGCAGAAGGTGAAAAAATCAACAATGTATACTGTATGAATGGACTGCAATTTCATGGCAAATTTGTCCTAAAATGCAAAGATGAACGCGTGACCTGCTAAAGCCCTTTCTATCAGACGTACTGAGCGAGCAGCCATGTTGCCTGTTAACAGGAATCTTGCACGGTTTGATGGTGAGAAACAGAGGTGCATTAGGTGGCAGCCGAGATGACGCACTAAATGAATAAGTGAGAAAAGAATGTCCCCCAGGAGGCAATCTTCAAATGGCAAAAAACACCAGTGATGAATACAAATTGATAACACGTGTAAGTCATTTTGACTTTTTTTACACCGTTAACTACATCATTTTAGTATCATTTGCATCAATTTGACACAAAAAAGCTCAACTATGATGTATAAAATGAATTTGTTCCAGGTATAATATGTTGATGGCAGGCAAACACTGCCCAGTAAACTCATTGCTGGAGTAAAATTTAAGTGCTTTTGGTTTGGAGACCCAGAAATGAGCCATCTATGCATTTCCACATTGTGAACACGTATCCCTTCATACTGCCTCACTTCCCAAAAAACACACAGAGCAGCAGGTCTGGGCCATCCCGCTCTGGCCAATGAAATTCCCGAGAGGCAGGGATGCCTGAATGTGTTTCCTAGCAACGGGAGTAAGGGGGCGGGGTGTATATGTGTGGGTGTGTGAGGAGGTGGAGGGGGGGGGTGTACACTGAAAACATGAGGAGGCAGTAGTCGGTGCAGCTGGCTGGATCTGGCAACGGCACGCCGCCATGCCACCGGCCAATTACCGAGCACGCTGGCAGAGCACGGAGGCAGTTGCCTAGCAACGATAACCGTAGAGCTGTACGGGGCAAGATGGGGGGGGAGAGGGGGTAGTAGTAGTAGTGGTGGTAGTAGTGGTGGTGGTGGTGTAGGAGGAGGAAAGGGAATCAGGGGGGGTGGGCACTAACAGACCAGAGCCTGCAGCGGTACATAACCACTCAGCTACCGACTCCTCCAACGATACGCTGCCCCCCGTTGCCTAGCAACAGAGCCCCCCCTCCTCCTCTCTCCTGTCTCCTCTCTCCTCAAGATGCCCTCCTGCAAACAGGCAAGTAGAGCAGGTGCACACTCACACACACACACACACACACACACACTCACACAAAATGTTTCACATGGAGTCCGACTGATTGGCAGATTGAAAAGGCAATCAGTATCTTAATCCACCGGATTAGCCCCAACTCAGCAACATAATCTGATTATGCTCTGTTACTTTGGGATTACTTTGCCTGTAAAACATATAATGTAGATTATGAAGCTATAAGTGGATTATTTCTTCTGATTTTTAAAGAATCAGGATTGTGGACAGTGCTGTTGTTTATTCTGCGTTATTTGATCAAATCCCCATCAGCTGACACCACTCACTCATTTCAGGCAAAGATGTTGCACAATCACAATGCTTTTCTCCCCTTGAAAATGTGTTTCTTTTCTTTTTTAGTAATCAAATAAGCAATCACATATTTCTCACTTGTAATCTGATAACTGGGTGTTTCCTGAGTCACCGTAATCCCATTATGTGTAATCTGTTACTTCCGAATGCTCTCTCTCACACACACACACACACGCGCGCGCACACACACGTGCACACACTCACTCACTCCAGCCTCTCAGGTGCCAGTGTTGAAGTTAATTGCGTTCCCTCCATTAGCTGGAGCTGAGGCAGGGCATCCGGGTCTCAGAGGTCATTAGAGAGGCTCTCGGAGAACGCTTTTCAAGGCTCCTGCCCACAACTACAGAACTGCTGCATCGGAGACGAGAGAAAGGGGGGAGGAGGAGCGAAACGGGTTTAGAGAGAAGGGTGATAGATGGGCGAGCTGATGGAGGAATAAAGAATGTTGGGCGAGAGACATGAAGATGATGGAGAACTGGAGCTGAAAGACGAACGCTTCATCATTGTTACCATCAACTATGTATCAATAAACATAATTGCACCCGTGAATGTCATGATTCAAATTGTATAAGACTGAGTGAAGTCAAGTATCCCATTAGGAGAATACAGCATCTTTGTAAATGGGGGAGAAGTTGGTTCATTTGTAGAGAAAACCAGCCAAGTGTACTTAAACGTTGTATTTTATCTGACATTATTTGTGCAGAAGAAAACATAAAAGACAGGGCCTTAAGTATATGGATGTCTGAACATTATATCGCAGTTTGATATTTTCCTCATTGGCCTCAGTCCTAAAATAGAGAGAGCGAGAGAGGCCAGAGCAGAGCAATATAATAAGAGCGTGAGAGAGAAGCACATACAGAGGGATGTTACGAGAAGACTGATATAAGGAGAGAACTAGAGAGAGAGACAGTCAGACTGAGAGAGAGAGAGAAGAGCAGAAGAACCCAACAGTGCTTTACCCGTTCCCTCACCCTTCCCAAAATCGAATTGTACCATTCTCTTATCTGCCATAAGCCTATTCACAAAAAGCTCTACAGGGCACTGTCATTTCAACTCAGCCCGTCTAATTCCAGATTAAATCGTAGCCTTTTCTCCGTCGGTAATTTATGGAAATAACAACTAAGAAGAAGAGGATTTGAGTAATGACATCTTTAAACTTGTCAGGATAATGGCTCAGTGAATGGGGGAGCCTGTGGCACTGCTGTCTCTTTCTGAAGAGGGTCGCTCTACTGTACCTCCCCCATTCCTGTCTTCTGTCTTCATCTACTCTTTGTTTCACCCCACGTCACTATCTCCCCTTCTCCTGCCTTTTCTTTAGCTTCTGCGCTTTCTTTGTGTCATCTTATGTCGACATTCCCCCCCCCCCGTCATCATTCTGCTTTCCTAGTTGGAATAACAAGACAGATGGCCTTTGGGTGGCTGCTTTTAACAAAAAGCACCTTCAGTGACAAGGATGAGCTTGCGGGTGGGGGGGGGGGGAGCTGGGGTTCCTCGAGAAACTGAGCCCCTTACGGTGCTATATGTAATATTGTGTCATTAAAACATATTAATATCTAAACAATTTGGTGGAAAGAGAGAGAAAGAAAACTGCATAAAATACGTACATAAACAACGTAACATAAATACGGAAACCATGTCACAAACTGAGTTTGTGCAATATAATGACTTACGACAAATATGGGACGCTTCAGATGATCGGCAAATTTCTGATTCACTTGTTTCAGCCTTCTGGTCCATCCCCCTTGGCTTGTGTGGGTATTGTGACTGGACAGCATCAGTGGCACTGGTCTCCCAGAGCTGGCCCAGTTGGCATAGAGTCCAAGCACGGACATGCCACACTGGAGAAATCAATGATCGCGTGTCTGTGCCCGTTGTGCTGATGGCGAAACCTGTGGTGATGCGCCACCGAGGGTGTGATCACACATACGGAGTGTTTTCTTCATTCCCGACAAATAGTCGTTGACAAGTTGGATTTATTTATATTCACACCCTCCCACCTCCCGAAAGATACGAGCGAGCCAGAGCTTGTAAACAAGCCGTGTGTGGCCTCTAAATTGGACTTCTTTGGTGATCCGTCAACCTTTAAGTTTAGATGGTGGGGAGCAAGACAATTTAATAACAGTCCCTGTAACCTCATTTAGCATGATGGACGCTCTCTGCTGTACCTCCACGGGTTGAAACACGTTAAAAACAGCTATATATTAGCATCCAGATGGCAGTCCACCACACATTGAATGTGTTATTCTAAGCATTTCATATCCCTGAACGCCTCTCTTAGGAGGACGGGTACAGACCTACACTCTTTAGCCATTGCAGCCCAATTATTTCCACCAGACTCCATTGTCTTCACCTTCCCAATGAAAACACTCAAACAAACACCTCTGATGTGTTTGGTGCGATCGAGACCTGAAGGCAGAAGGACGCTGAATCATAACCCTGCTGGTTAAAAAACGGCAAACGACTATTATTGTTTCCCTTTTCTTTCGTTATCGGAAGAAGCACACAGACGGAATCCCTCATCCCCTGCCTACTTAGATAATACTACACCATTACATTTGACACGTATTTTCCTGGACCCTATTGCTGCCCCTGTGAAATCGGACAACCCCAGACCAAGGACCACTGACCCAGACTTACAGTACAGAACGCATAGAGGACGGGGAGGGCCTGAAATAAAGCGGGGGAAACGGCAGCCTATCCAGGTCAATCCATCCATCACTGTGCAGTTACTCACACGGAGGACAGCTCCCCGACAGGGGTCTGAGTGGTTTGGGATTGAGATGGAAGAGCGGGAGAGTTATAGCTCCTGAACCCTACCCCCCCCTTCCTTCTTGAGAAGAACCTTGACTAGGAGGACCCGTCCTGGTTTGGCACAGAAGTACTTAGAGAGGTTTCTCTGAAATAATCGCATTTTTATCTTACATGCTGATATTTTTATGTGACGACACGGCGGCCAGGTTTTAAGCCTGTTCTATGATTTACTTGGCTGTTTTTTTTCTTCTCTCTTTACATTTCTTATCACTGTATGTGCATTTTGTACTTGTTCCAAAAATGTGAAGCAGGGAGATTTTCCTCAATTATCTCAAGTCAGGTTATCTAGGAATTCAGGGATTTGGCTGGCAGGCTGAAAGGGTGAATAAATGAATGACTGAATGAATGTAGTGCTCACATAAACAGATAGATGTAGGTAGATGTAAATGTCGGCGTTTTAGAAAAGTGGCAACAGTTTATTTCCCCTCAAAGACCAAAGAAATTAAGCAGAAGCAAATTGTCCCACATAGTATTCGTGTGTGACGGAGAGGCTGAGACTTCAAGGAAACACCACAGCAACACACTCCGGCTGTGTCTCCGTCAGTGTGCAACAGCCATTTAGCTGCAGGATTGAGTCTTTTCAGTCTTGTCGCCAACAATGAGTGTCAATCAGTTTTATTACCCGCAGGTGTATCAAGTGGCTACCTCTGGTAAGAGAGGCGTCCTCAGAGCTGCCTGGCTGAAAGTCTCATAGGGGCACTTATACGGACATTATATGGAAAAGTGCACCAATTAAAGTGCTCATATTCACAAACTATACACAGAGTGTGTAACCTTGTGTCTCTGTACAACTCCTACCCGTATAAAAACATACACATTTACACTTAATGAGAGTGTGAGCTGTGTGGTCAATTCCAAATAGTTTTATTGAACCAATCTTGAAGTTAATGAGTATTACACATTGGAATGTGCGTTTCACTCCCTTGTGCAAACTAAAAAAATAGAATTATTGATTGAGTTGATGAACTCTTATTGTGCTTGCAAACCCAAAATAGCTGCACAATATTCCATCTAGCGCTGCTTTTTTCTTCCGGTTATAGCACAATGTTGATTATAATCTAAACGTTATGAATAATTCTCACCTGTGTGTGTCCTCTGATGGGCCTTGAGGTGGGAGCTCTTGGTGTACACCTTCCTGCAGCCGTTGAACTGGCAGCGGTGGATCCTCTTCTTGTTCTCCGGCAGCTCGCCCACTCCGATAACACACGCCGCCCCCTCATCTTCGTCCTTCATCCGGACGGGGAGTGTGTGCGTCGCCACCAGTCGCGCCGCGCTGAGCCCCACCTTCCTGGCCACCAGCTTCAGGGTAAGCGTCCCGTCCGCCGAGGCCGTCAGTGTCTGGTTGGATTTGACGAGGTGCCGGCCCAGCTCCGGCGACGACGGGGGCGTCAGGGAGGTGACGGCGCTCAGCTGGGCCTGGTGGACCCCTTCCATCACTTCTACGTTTTCCAGCTGCTGGCCCTTGAGTTTGAGGTCTCTTTTCATTGCACCGGTGGAGGGGAAATTCTTCCGCGTTGGGCAGAGGATGAGTGGAGGTGGGCTCAGGGGCTCCGGGAGGATGGGCAGGCTGGGGAGCAGGGCATCTGTCAGCTCCTCATCACCATCCTCCTTCAGGTAGGCCGGAGTCAGGAGGCCATCCAGGTCTTTGTCGAAGAGCTCTGACAGACGCTTGGGCTCCGTCTGCAGATAACGCTCCAATTCTAGGCAGGTCTACGGGAGAGAAAAGGGGAAAGGAAAGACTCATTTTAGACACATTTGGGCATCAGCTCTGAAAATGCCCTTCCTCACTCTCATAAATCCCACTTGACAATCTCAACAGCCACCAGATCCTCCGATGTGCGGAGAGAGAATCTGCATGGTGCCATCCACTCACCCACAGACAGGCAACTTAGCAGCTCTGCCAGCTGTCACATGCGCGCATGCACAGACAGCCACCAAGACAGCCAGGATTACCTGGCAGCTCCAGCTAGACGGCTGATTACACACTGATTGATTGCAACCCGCTGCAGTGCGGAACGAAAGCGAGCCGCCTGGATAGCAGGAGGAGAAGTCCTAAACTGAACAGAACTCCTATCAAACAACATTTTATAGAGCTTTGACAAGCCATGTGTGCACCAGCTTCCACTGAGCCAAGATAGGAAGATTTATTCAGCTGTAGTTATGGTCTGCTTCATCCCTATTACACCTCTCCCCTCGGAGGGCAAATAAAAGGCTACATCCCCGATTTGTGTGAACTGGCATCCCGAGAAGTCTATTACTTTACAGCAAGCTGGCAAGGTTCGAAGAGGAGGGCCGGCGAGGGAAAGAAGACGCTCCGTGTCCAAGGATGAAGCTATTATGTTTGAATGGACAGCGCCAGTTTGATCCCAGGGATCGTTGTGTTTCGCTTGTAGCCACTAACACATTTTGACAGCTGGAGATGGAGGCTAGCAGCTCCACTGGGCGCGCGCTTCTCGCCACTTCATTTGTGTGTAAATAGGCGCTGACACACAGAGCAGCTCGTTCCATTATCAGGAATAGGGTTGTACAGACTGAACACATCAGAGACATTTACACACACACACACACACACACACACACACACACACACGTTGCTTGTTTGCACCTTCTAAAAATAAACCGGCCACATTTTTTTTTCTTTCTATTTTGGAGGGGGGGGTGACTGTTGCCAAGGGAGTGTAATTTCTCCTCTAAGTCGTCTTCTTCCAGGAACAAAAAGGGATTTGGAGTTGTTGTATTTTTTGTTGTTTTTTGACTGTTCACAGTATTTGCATACCAGATATCAAATTAAAAAGCTGCTCCAGACCATATCTACAGCGTGAAAGTGACGATAATGTCCTCCACTGCACACCTACAAGCTTTCTTTTTTTGTTGTTTTTGACTGTGATGGCTTTCAAAAAAATAACTTCTTTCATGCGCTATGCGAGAGGTCTCTTCTGTTTCCTTGATGGCTGAGGCCAGTGAATCGTGAATTGAATTCTTTATTTCAGAACGCAATTAAATATCGAAGGCGTTGAGAAAAATACAAGAATTTTATCTTTCAACCCCTCAACCTGCCCACATCGCTCCCTTTCTCACTCATCCTTCTACTTCAGTCTCACCCCCTATCAATTCCCCCAAATCACCCTTTTCTCTCTCCCTTTTCTTCTCATTGTCATCGCCTCCTCTCCCAAGGTGAGGACTAATTATCCACTAAAACCAGCCAGTTAAAGGGGACTTTATTCAGCAAAACGCTGAGGACTGCAGACCAAGGTGAGTGTGTGTGAAGCAGAGATAGTTCAAGGGAGCGGAAAAGAGGATAGAAACGGATAAGTGAGAGGGGGGCTGAGTGGAAGGTGAAGAAGAAGAAGAAGAGGGAGGAGGAGGAGGAGAGTGATGGAGGGACAAGGTGAAGGAGGCAGGAGAGGAGAGAGGAGGCTTGGTAGAAAGAGCGAAGGAAGGCGTCGACTCCGTTTTCTCCGTGGGGGGTAAATCCTTTTTTGGAAGTGTGACATTTGGCATAACAGGATCCTGTCGGCGGGCAAGCCACAGGCCTCACGCGCAGAAAAGGGGTTCATGCACACCGAATGTTCGGTTGCGACCCAAGGCCGTGCTCGGATGCATGCTGTACTTATAAGTGTGCGAGTGTGCATGCAGAAGGGAGTGTTTGACAAGGTAAGAGTGCTGAAGAGGCTGCAGGTGAGGGAGGAGGGGGGAGGCGCTCTTTCTTTGCATCCATCTCCCCCCCCCCTTCTTTTCTCCCATCACTCCATCCTCCCCCCTCCCCTCCACCACCCTCCTCCCCCAGGTGGTGACATTAACATCGTAAGAGAGAAGGTCACGCAGTTGATCAGCGGTTCCTGTGTGTGCAGTGCGGAGCAGTGTGGGTGTACGCACACTTAATGTGGCTGCATGTGATTATGCTAGTTTGTGTGTGTGTGTGTGTGTGTGCGCGCACATAATTTTGCAAGCGCCCGCGTATATATGAGTAGCATAATTATGCGTAATTACGCGGCTCTTGTGTGTGCGTTTGTGCGAACACCTACGCGCAAGCATAAACTCTCTTGGCTGATCCCGTAGTCTAAAGTGAATGTGTGTGTGTGTGTGTGTGTGTGTGTGTAGGCAAGGAATCAAGAGCCAAAAGCATCGCACGAGATAAAGGAGCGCTCATGGCTCGCCCCAGCTCTGTTTTGACAAACGCCGATCTGGAGAGCCAACATGAATTGGCTCCGCATAAAGCCAGCGTCCGTTTCCTCAAAGGCTTTCGGGATGATGCCTTCACGTGAGCCAGGATAAACTCAGACAGTCCAATGGATGCTCCAGCAGCCCCACCTCCACCTCCAAACCCGCTTGGGTGGGGTGACTTGGAGCCAGATTCCATGTTGTCAAGCATCTCCTTAGGACAAGACAGCCATCGCCGGGAGCAGGGCCACAAGGACTGGGTATCGAAACCAGTACACTATCAAAGTGATACAGAGTGCTTCGATACCCGTCAGAGCTGTGTGCAAGCAGGCAAATATTTTTCTTTACAAAGTGAAGTGATTACACAATTATTAAAATAGTTGATTCATATTGGCGTTTCTTCTCGTTTTCTTGCCATAACTTATGTCATTTCCAAGACAGGTTGATGAGCAGCCCTTAATTGCTTCGCTAATTACCTTGATGATTGTCAGCTGTGGCTTCAGTCACTGTCAGCTTTCAAGAATGTCAAAGGAATGCAAGCTTTTTGAATAGTTTGGGGATTGATATTGAATATAACGGTACTGGATAGGGTCGGGGTCACTGCACAGTTCTACGTCAACTTTCCTTTTCACTCGGTTAAAAAGCACATTTAAACTTAAAATGCTCAGAGGAAAAAGGCACCCTCTTCAGATGCACTTTGTTTTCTGCACACACACACACACACACACACACACACACACTGAGTCACACATGCAGAACACACCTGACGTTAGCGAGGCTTAAAACACAGCAGGTGTGACAAATACTCGCTGATCACAAGACACGCTTCTCACAAAGTCAAGCGGGCTGAGAGCTGTGAACCAGCCCTCATTCACCAACTTCTGCTTCTCGTTCTCTGGCTCTTGAGTTATAAAAATCAAAGTCTCTCTCTCCTCCTCCTCTCCTCACTTCTCCTCCTCTCTGCCTCACCCTGTCCTCCCCTCGTCCACGGGGCCCTTGGCCTGGCAGCTGATCCTCTCTCCTCCCTTCACATTTGGCCTGCGCCGCGCCGCCTGCCATCAGCATCAAAGCGCGGGCTGCCTCCCAACTGTTAGCACCCCGCTAGGTCGCTAATAAAAAGCCTGGGTTATAAATATGAACAGAAGAGCATGCATAATGCCCCAAAGGAAGCCCCCAAACACCACTAAACAGATAAATGTAATGGGGTGGATATGGCTCATTAATTTTAGGATAATCATGTTCAGTTTTTACAGATGCCGTGATAGAGACAAGGTGCTATGAATAATAATATCCAGCGCTGACGCTAGCAGGGTTGAAAAGGGCAGGACTTTGAGGGGGGCCCTGAGCTGGAGGGGGTGAGGCAACACTATTGTTGAAGTGGTTTTTTTTGGGGGGGGGGGGGTGCTGTCGCATCTTTTCAAAGATGATTCCCTGCAGCCTTCATCATTCTGGAATATTTCGATTTTTTTTTTTCCTGCTTAGAATATAGATCTTAGACAACTTTCATTATAGAGGCTAGGTATTTCCCGCTATTTCCACTCATTATGCTAAGCTAAGCTAGCCGGCTGCTGGCATATTTCCTGTGCATAAGTGAGAGCGTTTTCTCTTTAAAATCTCAATAAAGAAAGTGAATGAGCCTTTTGTTGTTGAGCATATTTTTATACTTTGAACTCTCTCTTATATCATATTTGTATTGTGGGCTTCTGAGGCTGTAAACATTTGAGCTGTCAACACATTCCCACTGTCAGTTTTGGACGTTGCATGGACGGAGCGTCAGCTTTCGGTTAGGTGTCAGAGGGTGAGGGGCACTGACCAGGCATCGGCCTTTGACGAGTTGGGAGACCGGGTCTGTGCCGCTGTCTTTCAGCACTGCAAAACAGTCTTTTTCAAAGAATGTGCTTTTAATTGTCATCATCATTTTAACACAAATTGGAAAACGATTGCTTCTCATCACAAACATGACATTTTGATTATTTGGTTCGGCCATGTCTGTATCCAGCCGTGGTTTGATTAGTCATATAAAAGTGAGTAATATTCAGGTTCACAGGTTGTGGATGCAATACCACTGCTCTGAATAAAACCCCTTTTGAGAATTGAATCAGTTTCACCCTTCAGGTGACGCTGCACCACAATCACATCAATGGGAAAATCTGGCCTGCAATGAACCGAGTAACCAAATTGTCTTCTCCTTTTTTTTGTTATTGTCTTGATTTCATTTTTACGACTCCCTGTTTAACTGACTGTGTTTACAGCCGTCTTTGTTATTGCAGTTTGTAATTCAGAATAAACACTTGGCACTTTTATCGAAAGAAAAGTTTGCGCAGGCACGTAATCCGGAGACACAGTGTGTGAGTGCGTCGGTGCACGTGTGTGTCTCATCCTGCCATAGTGTGTTATAGGGCCTATGTCTCCCATTGATCTGGCGAGCCGGGGCCAAGCCATCACTTTGAGGTGACAGCTAAATGACCAGTAGCCAGAGGCGCTGGCCAGCTCGCCAACAGCCTTTGTGTGTTTGCGTCGCAGTGCCTAATCGATACGGAATGATACCG